TTTTTTTTTTTTTTTTGCGGAACCAGGAATTGAACTCACACCCTTGTGCTTGCCAGGGAAGCACTTATTCTACTGAGCCATCTCCCCGGCCCCAATCCAAAACATTTTGGATAAGGACTATTTAACCCAAAATAACTATGTGGAATATTTTACATATGAAACCAATTTTATGGCTAAAAACACTAATCCCATTTTGCATGAACAGTGGAGTAATATTGTCTGACAATTAAACTGAGCCACTGCATCCATACTAACCCATCATTTACTGGTACTGTTTTTACTCATTAATTTACTTAAATCCAAATAGTTCCTAGTTTGTCACTTACTTGTACAGTCTAGAAACAGGAGGTACAGATGTAGACAGGACACAATAAGCAACAGGTAGAATAAAACACTCACTAAGGTCAAATGAAACGATGGATGGGTAAGTGCTCTGCAGTCTTTAGGCCACAGCTTCTCAGTCTCAGAACAAATGGCACTTTGGGATGCAGAAGTCTTTACCGTGGGCACTGGCCTAGACACTGCTGAAATGCTAGGCAGCACCCCTACCTGCTAGATGCCAGGTGCACCCCCTCCTCAATTTGGACAACTAAAATATCTCCAGACATGTCTCTCAATTGTTTTCTTTGGGGCACAAAATGGTCCTCAGGTGAGAAACACTGCTTTTGACTACAGAACTATATACAGTGACCACTGAGATCATCTCAAATGTAAGCAGAGTCCAGTTCTCAATTTTTTCCCATTTGGAGACTCTACTAGGCTGCTCTTCTTGGTGGGCTAAAAACACTCTGGGCCGCCTCTGGCCAAGTCTCCTTGTAGCCTACATTTCTCCAGGGTTATTTAATGGCTGGCAGCACTTCATTAACACTCAGATGAGTAACAGCCCGCTACAGTCCCCCCATGGTGGTTTCTTTGCAGCATTTCAAGTTTGACAAAAAAGTTACCACAAAGTTTTTACAGGATTTCAGTTAAGGAATCTGGGTCCCTTCAAACTGTAAATTATTTTCTGCGAGGGCAGGAACTTTTACAAAGTTTTCTTTCAAGTATAGGGCACATAGCAGATAAAGGGAACAGGATGTTTCCTACAGTGCTTTTCAAAAAATGGGAGCAGGGTGTGGTAGCCTAAACCTGCAATCCCAGAAAGGGGGCTAGGGGCTGGGGGCTGAGGTAGGAGGATGCTGCAAGTCTGCCACCAGCGTGAGCTACATAATGAATTCAAAGCCAGCCTGAAATACACAGCCTCTGTCTCAACAAATAGACAAACTCACAAAAAAGAAAAGGGTCTAGAAGCAGGGAAGCCAAAGTAAAAGAAAACCAAAGCAAACCAAAAAAACCTTTTTAAACAGGGATAAATATCAAATGTAAAAAACAATTCCTAGTTTTCTTTCTAGAATAGCAGGTATTCTGTTGAAAAATAAGAAAAGATACAAAATGTTTATAATTCAATTTGTTCACACGCTTTTGGCAACTTCAATTTATTATAAAGTATATCAAATAATAGTTAGGAATTTAAGGACTGGAGTTATAGCTCAATAGTACAGCACTTGCCCTGCATGCACAAGGCCCTGGGTTCAATCTCCAGCATGACACATAAACATACAAACAAAATTTAAGAATTTAATATAAACTATAAATTCTAGGCTGGGGAGATAGCTTGGCGGTCTAAGCGCCTGCCTGGCAAGCATAAAGACCTGAGTTCAGTGGAACTGCATGCCTGTAATCCCAGCACTGGGGAGGCTGAGACAGGAGGATCATGAGGACTCTGAACCACGTGGCCAGACTGTGTATCAAATAATTTTTTTTTTTTTTTTTTTTTTGCGGAACTGTGTATTGAACTCAGGCCCTTGCGCTTGCCAGGGAAGTGCTTATTCCACTGAACCATCTCCCTGGCCCTCAAATAAATTTTTAAAAACCTATAAATTCCATTAAGGAACCACTTAATCTCATCAGCTTGCACAAGGGCCTGAGTTCAATCCCCGGTTCCGCAAAAAAAAAAAAAAAAAGGAAAAGTGTACTCGAACTGTCATGTATTATTTAGTAGGCAACAGTGCTACTGCTTTCGCACAAATTCTTCCCTATACTGTCATCTTTAATTTTTAGATTCAGTAACCTCAAATTCGGGGAGGTTCAGACTATCTGTAACGTTAAAGAATGAAAAGGCCATGGTTCAATTCCATGTAAGTTTCAATTCCAAGAATCCCTGTGTTTTCTACTCTTCATGACGTCATCTGGTAAACAGAACTTTACTCCCAATCCTTGGGAGTCTTACCAAATGAAGGGGACGGGAGAGGGCGCCAACCTTCTCCACACTAAAAGTCACCATAATCCTGTCGAGCAAGCAATTTCCCTTCTTTTATGAAAAGACTTCTGTTTTGGAGAAATAGGTGCTTCTCGCTCCTATGTCAGACATTATATTTCACCATCTGCTCACACCAAGTAATAAAGTAATCTGCTCATTTTAAAAAATCATTTTAAGTGCAAGAAAGTGCACATCGTTGAAACGAGATTACATTTTGCATTTTCCTATGAATCACACTTTAATAAAGTTTACCAAAGTGCAATATTGTTTCCACTTTCTCTGGGGTGGGGCCGGGGAGATGTCTCAGTAGAATAAGCGCTTCCCTGGCAAGCGCAAGGGCCTGAGTTCAAGCCCCAGTTCCGCAAAAAAAAAAAAAAAAAACAAAACAAAAAAAAAAAAAAACAACAACAAAAAAAAAACAGTTCCTCAACTTTCTCTGGGGTGACAGGTAATAGGACGGACATTTAAAATCCTAACCTAAAGGGAAAAATTCATCTTCCTTTAATATTTATTTCGGGGGACTCCACATGTATATAGCATTTAAAATACGATGCGTCTCACCCAGAGTACCTATCCAGCCCACCAAAGACATCCGTGGGGCAGAGGCGACGGGGAGGACGGCCTTGTGGGCGGGGCCGAGGCGGAACCGGACGGAAGGTGCACACCGAGCCGGGGCGGCACACAGGCAGGCGGCTGCACCTGCCGGCCCTGCGGGCCGGGCCAAGCTCCCAGGCTCCAGCACCACCTGGTAACCGGACAAGGCGCGCCGGGCGGGGAGGTCTCCTACAGGCCGGCCAGGGATGCACGGGGTACCGCGGCCGCCGCCAACGCAGAAAAACCCCCTCGGGCTCCCACCACCCCGGCGACAGCAGGGCGGAGTCGCGGAGGCGAGCGGGGCAGGACCCCTCTGGGGGTGGGGCCTCGCTCCGGGGCGGGGCTTACGAGGGCGCCAGACGGGCGCGGTCCCCGGAAAGCGAGCTGTGGGGACTCGCGACTCCGGCTGCTCCAGCTCTCTGGAAGCGTGAAGGTGTCGGCGGCCTGTAAGCCGCCTCCTTACCTGTCGGCGGGAGAAGAGCGCGGCCCCTGGCTGCAGCACGCGAGAGCCACAGCGCTGGCACAGCACCGCCTTCCGGTTTCGGCCCTCGGCCGACACCAGCTCGCTCAGCTGCTCCGCCGGCTCCATCGCCGCCACGTCGACGGCGCCCCTGGGCTGCGACCGCGCAGGCGCAGTCCCCACTCGCCGGCTCCGCTCTGCTCTGCGCGGGCGCGACTCGCCGGGGGCGGGGCTCAGTCTCTCGAGCCACCTCTGCGCAGGCGTCCGCCCCGCTGCGCGGGCTCTGCTACGCAAGCGCCGGATCGCGCCGCCCAATCCCAGCGGCTAGGCGTCCGGCCGGCTTTGTGACAGGGACGCTTCTTGGGACCGGTGTGGCAAGTCCTTTGTGTCTGCACACTCTGCTGACCACCGTGAAGAGAGAAACTCCTGGGAACTTACACCTAAGGCTGAAATGGCAGATGTGCACAAAATGGCTGTTTAACCACGCCCTGTCCCCATGCTGTGACGCTGCTTTCGTCCCTGCTCAGGACCCCTGTGTAAGGAGATGAAAAGGAACGTCTGGGGCCCAGAGCTTGGCATGCTAAGGTCCTTTGGGCTGTATGACTGGAAAACTGGCCGTGCTTGCCCACTGTGCCACTCTTCAAAGCAGGGGAGACCAGATGGCGCGCCTTCCCACACATGGGTGAGACCTCCTTCGGGAGAGGGTAATCATTGTTCGCACCAGCTTCTCCCTATTGGACTGACTTATTGGAGGAGTGGGCTGGTTCCCTGGTGCATTTTCTGGACAAAGTTAAGGCCCAGGGCTGTCCCAAGTCAGACCGTCCACTACGGAAGGGGAGTCTAATCACCTTCCAGGGGCTCGAGCTAGAGACCAAAGGGATCTTCCATAAGGGAGAAGGGATGTCAAACTCTGGATGACAATGTGCATGGGAACATATTTGTGGCCCATCAGCATAAACTAAGGAGTCCTGGTGGGCCCTAAACTTCGTTTTCATGTCGATGGCCTACCTATAATAGTGATTCATTCACCCATAATTATGGACTAGCCAGGCCACACCTTTGCCAAGACTCATTGAAGTTCCTTAGAGGGATGTAGCCAGGTGAGCATCTCAATGGCCTCTTTTGGGAACTCCCCTCCTTTGTCTGTTACAGTACCATTCATGGGGAAAACACACCTCAGAATAAGGGTTTGGTGTCTCACGCCTATAATCCCAACATTGGGAGGTGGGAGGCTGAAGCAGGAGCATCATTGTGAGACCAGCCTGGACCACAAAGTGAGCTCAAGGCCAGCCAGAACTGCACAGTGAGACCTTGTCTCAAAAGAGAAAAAAAAAAAAAAGGCAGGGCATCTACACAGGCCAAACACTACATGTTCAAAAACTTCAGGAAGGGATTTAGTGGAGATTATGGTATTAAATTGAAACCCAATAAATTAAGAACTCTTTGTGAGGTAGACTGGGCCAAACAACATTGGTGGCATCCTAAAGGCTGTCCATATAGTGTGGGCAGTCTGGAAGGCAGTCATGGGTAGTGAGAGCCCTCCTGACCAATTCCCATATATTGACCCTTGCCTTGATGTTGCCCAGACCCTCCCCACTTGGGCCAATTCTGCGAAACTGGGAAAGAATAGAGTCAGGACTTTGCCACCCAAGTTTCTAGTTAAGCCCCAAAGGTTCAAAGGAAACCAATTCATCAGGCTTCATCAGGACTCCTTGCCACCCTTCCCCATATTTTCCCTTGCCTCCTTTGGTACTCCAGCCATTCGATCTTACTGACAGACCTTTCCTGGAACCCCATCTCCACCTAATCTACCCTACTCACCTGTTGTGGAAAAAGAACCTGAGTCAACCAGCCCCTTGCCTGACAGCTACTTCAGCCCAGCCACCAACCAAAGCTTGATGATTCACTGTCAACCATGCCTTCTTCTGCCTGTGCCTGGACTCACAGTTACCCCCTCATCACCTTTAAATAGGAAGATCCTAATACAGCATGAAAGGCCCAATTGACAAGGTTTCTCCAGGGCTTCAAAAACTCCCAGACCATTTGGAGAGGCCCTACCTGCAGACTGGTCACTTTCCCAAGAGAAAAACTGAATTGCATTTTACTGCAAATGACCTCTTACTGGCAAGTGAGGAGAAGGGACACTGTTGGAGAGACATAATCCTTTTATAATTGGTAATGGACACAGGATACAAGGTGTTATGGTTTGTGTCTGGATGTCACCCCAAAGCTTCATGTGGTCATGGGTTTTTTGGAGGTCGCTGAATCTAGAGTTTCTGATTGGTTCATTATCTAGTGCTGAGATAGGGGATGTGAGGGCTATACACAGCCTAGGGTGAGTAGCCTGCACAACATAAGGGAGGAAAAGAGGCTTGCTCCTTTTGCTCTTGTTGCTTTTGCTGTCTCCTATTGTCATGGACTGTTGTGTCTCTGCAATTCCACCCTGTCTTGGAGCTACCTGACTAGTGAAATTTCTACACAAAGTGTACCAGAAGTCCAATACCTAGGATTTGTTGTTACAGTGGGACACTCACTGAGAGATGACAAAAAACAAGCTATTTGCTCCATCACAAAGCCCAACAACAGAAAAAGACCTTGGGAATTTTTAGGGGCAGCCAGGTTCTGTTGTATATGGATACCTGGGTTCTCCAAGAAAACCAACCTGCTGTATGTCGCATTGACCAGACCAGAAGAAAAACCTCTCAAATAGGGTGAACAAGAGATGACTTTCAAAGAGATCTAAAGGCTGCTTGCCTGTGCCCTGGCTTTAGGACTACCTGACGTAAACAGAGAATTTAACCTTTTTGTCTGTGGAAAAAAAAAAAATTATAGCACATGGCATCTTAACTCAGGTGGCTGAACCCTGGCAGAGGCTGGTAGTGTACTTATCTAAGCAACTAGATGCTTTTGTGACAGGATGGCCTCCCTGCCTTCAGGCCTTGGCAGCAATAGTCTCCCTCATTAAAGAGGCAGACACATTAACCTTGGGACAGATTTGAGTCAAACTTTCCCACTCAGTCATGACTCTAAGGAATAACCAGCAACACAGATGACTATCCCAGGCCAGAATGACCCAACATGAAGGACTTTTCTGTAAGAATCTCTGAATTGCTCTATAGAGACCATTCTAGCTCTAAACCCTGCTACCTTCCTGCTGAGAGACTTCAAAGAAGTCTTCAAAATGCTTGTCAACTGACCAGAGTTCAGTGATGTACCTGGACACTGAAATTACCAGATGAAAACCTGTTCATGGATGGCAAGCAGCTTTGTTCAAGATAGAGAACATTTGGTCTGGTCTAAGTCATGACTGCTGACCAGGTCATTGAGGCTGGTTTCCTCCCAATGAAATGGTGAGATTATTTGCACATCAGACCAAAAATTGGAGAACACAGTTTATTAATAAAGCCGGCCATTGGACCCTTCCTGGGATACAGATCTTAAATGTCCAGCCAGTATCTAAATGCACGTCCCTGATCCTTACAGATCAAAAGTATACCTAGCCTAGATCTCCGTTTCATCTCTGCTTAAATACCTACAATGTCTTAACAAGGGTGGACAAGGAATGAAGGAGTGACAGTATCTTAAGGGTGGAGAAGGCTAACCTAGAGCTCGTTTTGCTAAGATCAGATTAACCCAATTAACAGCCCCCACCCCTATATCAAAAGGCATGGTCAGCTCAGAGGGCTCAGCTCTGGGCCCTCACTTGGACCTTCAGGTGAGCAAAAGGGAAGATGGTTAACATTTACACTGACTCCAAATATACCTTTGTTATATATGGGCATATGTAAGAAAAGAGGATTGTTCACTGCTGGGAGAAAAACAAAACAAAAATACAAACAAACAGTTGAGATACTCTTAATACCTGGAAGCTGTCTGGGAACTTAAGAGGATGGCCATCACACACCATTGGAGGTACCAAAAAGGAAAAAAAGAAAAACAAAACCCAAACTTATTTTTGTCCTTTTGAGGCAGGGTCTCATTAGGAAAGTCAGACTGCCCTTGAAGGCTCTATTACTAAAGAAATCAGTTGGCAGATCAGTCAGCTAAGGAGACAGCCCTGAGACAATTCAGTCCCAAGCTAAAGACATAAACTATTGATGCCCCCCTCAACCAGGGTATTCTCCAGAAGACCAGTGGGCCTAGAGGGAAAAAGCTTATAAAACCCCGAGAGAATAGTGGTGCCTACACAACCAGAGACCTTTTGGGCCCTAGAAAATGGCTTTCCCTCTAGTCCATAACATGAACTGAGCCATTTGGGAAAGACAGCCTCAGAGACATTATTGAGCTAGTAATTTTATATTCACTGGCTATCGTCTGTCTGCCACCATAAGGAACTGATGCCAAACCTACACCCAGAATACTCCCCTCTAGCGACCTAAGTCTGCTCCAAGGATACAACACACCTGGACCTCCCCTTTTGAAGACTTAGAGATAGACTTCACAGAGATAAAGCCATGCTGTGGCTACAAATATCTGTTGATCCTCATCTGCTACATTCTTGGGCTGGGTAGAAGCCATACTGATAGATGGAAAAATGCTTGACAATTAGCCAAAGTCTTGTTGCAGGAAATCATTCTCTGGTATAGGCTGTAGCTCACTATTAGTGGCAGGGGCCAGCAAGATAGCTCAATGGTCTAAATATCCTGCTTAGGCAAGCTTAGGCAAGTGTGCAGAAATTGCGGTTCAATCTCTGGCACCACATGCCACGCAAGCCCTGCCCCCAGGGCAGGCTGAGCTGGCCACTAAATAAATAAATAAAAAGAGTGGCAATGGACTGGTCTTCATAGCAGAAATAACACAAGACTGTTGAGGTCTTGCTGAAGATCAGATGGAATCTCCACATAGCCTACAGGCCTCAGAGTTCAGGGAAGGAGGACCACATGAATCACATCCTGAAAATCACTCTAGCCATATTCTGTCAAGAGACCCAACACATATTAATATGCTGCCTCTGCAGTGTGTTAATTATTGAAACTGTCCTACTGATTTGATTTGCAACTGTCTCATTGCTACTTGTTTATCAATAAAATTATGGGAAAAAAAAAAGATAAGAGATTTAAAACAAAATATGCTGTCTCTGGACCTACTATGGGCCCAGTGTACACTGGGGTGATATGGCTACTTTCCCTATAAAGCCCTGTTTGGGAGGCCTTCTCCCATGAGAGCCCTCAAAGGGATGTCATATAGCTAGGAGAATCAAATCTGACTGAAGTTGCAGGCCTTAGAAAAACTGTTGTCCCACATCTCTTGTCCTCAAGAGAATCTCAGTCCTCTCAAGTGTGCCATGTACATTAGTTTCTGCCAGGGGATTCAGCCTGTGTCAAACAGTGGAAAAAGGAATCTAGGAGTTCTTAAGCCTGTGTAGACAGGGGCTCACACTGTTGTGCTGGTCACAACTGCTATTAAGGTTTCAGGTATCATGCTGTGGATACACCACCTGAGCAACCTTCATCTGACGACCTCCCAGACACCTGGACCATACATCCTGACCTACATAATCCCCTGAAGTTGCAACTCAGGAGGAGACAACCTGACCAAGCTGCAACCCTTATAAGACGGGACAACATTCAAGACTAAGCCTTTTATTGAAGTAGTCCCCTGGCTCCCCAAACCCTGATTGACTGAACTGCTTCAACTTAAAGGTGCTAGTTCCTCAGGCTGTATCAGGTGGCTCTGGTTTCTGGGCTTCCTTGGGCCTTGGAGACTATGGCCTCTTGATTAGTAACTCCCCTGTGTCCTACAGCCTGTAACTACCCAATGACCACTGGTGGATGTCAGGTTACTGTGTTCATCTCCTGCACCTACATGCCAGCCTCTTGCTGCCACATGGCCACCCTATGCCAATACACTGGTGACCACAAGCCCAAGGATAGACTCTTCCAGTCTGGCCAAATCAAGGCAAGGGTCAACTTGCTATAACCAACATGGAAAAACATGTTGGACTTAGCTGATTCATGTGGGCCTGTCCAGTAGAGGAAGAGCTCAAAAGAGTGCATACTATAAACAGGTAAAAGTAGTATAAAAACAGTTGGTAAACCTGGATCAGGTGCCAAAAAACAACCACACAGGGTATAGATCTATCTGGCCTCTACTGGCTAACCTAGTTCATGGACCCCCACTCCTCAGACCTACAGCCCCTGAACACCTCCATTAGTTTTCTCATAGTACAGGGGTCAACAGGTCTCAATTCTTCT